TTTATTCATTGACTTTGAACAAATCTTGTACATGCATCATTCCCCCTCTCCCTCGTGTGTGTGCGCATGCACACACACGCGCGCGCACACACACACGTATGTGTGTTGGAGGAAACCCTTATGTCAGCACATGCTCTTCCCCTCCACTTCCATGTGCTTCTGTCATTTGATGGGGCTCCAGACGCTGCTCTTTGCTTTCTTAGCCCAAGGCAACTAATTGAAGATAATGGTTCAGTGAGTAGGTCTGAGAACAAAAATCTGCTAGTGACTTCCCTGCATAGCAATGTTTTTTAAGCCCCGTTGATCAAGAAGACTGGTTGATCCTGCCACAATGTCTGAGCTCAGGGAGCTGCAGAGAGGCAAGGAGGAGAGACTCTTGGCTTTGGAATGTGGGACTGATCTCTTTGTGCATGGGTATTCACAATGGAAAATGCCTACATAAGCAGCACTTTTTCCCACTGAGATTTGTATGATTAGAATTGAGTCCGAAGCCCTCCAAAATAGTCAGGAAACACCTCCTTTGCACTGAGAAAGATTTGCAATGGCACTTTGATATCCGATTGAAAAATTTGCACTTGACTTCCCATGTCAACCTGATAAAAAGACCTGAATGGCTCCATTTATCTACTCTTATGTAACCCCAAGAACAAATTCAGGTGTTAATTTCCCCACTTCTCATATTTTAATCTGTAATTCCCGACTCCCCTTACCATTGGCTATGCAGACTGATGGAAGTTGTAGGCCAGAGCACCTAGAGGACCACAATTTGCCCACCTTTGTAGAACGACCCATGTCCTGTTTAAGGGTTTCGTACCTTGTGTACGAACCTGCATGCCAATGCAGCTGTTGCCTGGGACCAAAGATGTGCAATATTCCATGCATATGGTCTAACACATAGGTTAGAAAGACTTTTAAGTTATATTTTTACTGCCAGCCCAGCTGACTTCTAGCAGTAGATAGGACTGGGAAGAAAGACCCTTCATGACCTCAGGGCAGTCGGTGTCAGTTCTTCACTCAACTTGCAGATCTTAAAATTAGACACTCACACATTGAAGAGCCAATGAACATTCATTTTGCCGTTGTATCTAGTTTTGGCATGGAAAGACTGCTCTTGCCTTATGTTTCTACTAACAATCACTCTAAGTCAGCCTTCCCCAACTAGGTGCCTTCTAAGTGTCTTAGAATACAGATCCCAGCATTCCTGATCGTAGCCCATACTGGCTGTGGCTGATGGGTACAAAACATCTGGATGGTGCCAGCTAGGCAGTGAACTCTTTGTCAGTGCAGCAAGAGCTGGTGTACCAGATTTGCCCCAACACTGAGCAAGCAACAAAGAGCTTTTGTATATGGTTTCTGGTACTTGAAATCATGTGAGGAGACCACAGAAACTGTATCTTCCCTTTTTCTGGCTGTCAGCTGGCAGAGTCCAAGGGATAGTGCAATCCGATGGATGGATGGATGGATGGATGGATGGGACTCAGAATTTTTATTAAGGCTACAATTGTAAGCACATATATTTTGTTACATTTCTACACTGCCCAATAGCCAAAGTTTGCTGTGTGACTCACAATATTTACTTGGGTGTGAATCTGCTGAGAAATACTTTTATTCTGTTTCTAAGTAAATACTTTTTAGAATCAGTACAGTAATTTGAAATACAGATGTTTCCTGTCTGAAGATATAAGGGTGCTTCCAGATGGAGAGCTCCTAGCCTTACCAATCAGAAGGCCTTGTGCAGAATTAAGATCTGTATTTTTTTTAATAGATTTTTGCAAAGGGATGCCACCATAAAAGTCTTATCTGGAAGCATCCTAAGAAGCAGAACTTAATCTCTTAGGATCTGCTGCTTCCCTTCTTTATCCCCCTCCACCTCTCTCTCAATACTTTAGCTATCTGGAAGATATGGTATCTAGAGTGTAAGGGCAAAAACATGTCTTGATAGAAGCATCCAAATGAGGTGGCTTGATTCTCAGCATTTACTTTTCAGTTCCCTGTTTTACTTTTCCATTTCAGTCATGTGTACCAGGCTTTCTCTCTGAATAATGTAGGAGTAATACTGACATTCTCTGGAGCACCAGTTTAAACTATGAAATAGGGTTGGACAACAGCCACTGTTAGTCGTTGTAATGGTGGGAGAGCTGCTGTGTTGTATTAAACCAGTGATTGGAAGAGAAATGTGTCCTACAGGCACCTTGGTATGTAATGCCAAACAACTATGCAGAAGCTCTCCAGAAAAACTTCCCCCAGCAGAGACTACAAAATTTTGGCTTGGAATCAAGAAGGAAATTGTCCATCTTAAGATTTTGGAGGTACTTTTTCTCCTTCCTTGGACATCCCTGTGATGATGGTGACTGCAGGTGCCATTTTGATAGGTGTGGACTTTTGTCACAGAGCTGAAGGAAGTTTTGATTGAGGAAAATTCAGCCAATATGCTTTGCCTTCATGCTGAGATGTTAGCCGATTGCCTCGCTGTGAAGGAATTTTCCCTCTAGCCTGACCGGCTGGTTCATTCGCCTTTTGCTTTCCACAGTCATGCATGACACAACTCATTTGCCTGAGCCATCTGGATGTGCTTTAACTAAAGGTATGGCTTGTCCTGCCTATACCTCTGACTTCTCTGCTCCATCTGTGAGATGCTGTAATTCAGATAGAACAAGGAGAACCATTGCAAACTTCTGCATTCTCAGAAGCCACTTTATTTGGTCCACAGTCCCGAAATGCATTTTGCTTCACAACAAACTAGCCACCTTCCAAGTAGCTGGTTCCTTAATAACATTCCTAGAACATTCCTAGGCACTGATTTTACAGTGGTCATTTGGAGGCAAAAGAGATTTAATTGAGAAAGTACAATTCCAGTTCAACAAGAGGTTCATTTCTACCACCTGTAGCTTTAATAAAAATAAAATGTTTGGATCTTATAATTGTATGGGCAGAGCATCCCATGGGCCATAGGATATTCTGCTTTATTCCACCCCATTCCCATGTCCACAAACCCTGCCATGAAACCAGAAGGGGAAAATTAAATGGCTATTTCCCTCCTACCTTCACCTCACAGTTGCCTTGGAAAGCTCTTCAGCTGCTCCTCTTCCAAGGTTGCAACAATGACCTCAGAAGAGGAGCAAGGAAGGAAAAATTGGAGCAATTTGGTGGGTGGGGAGGAAGGGGAGATGTGGATTGCAGGGTTCATGAGTGTCTCCTTTCCCATCCCTTCCCACTGAAAAGTAAGTCAGCTAGACAGGTTCCGAGGCCCATCTAGCTGAACATAACTCAGATGGAGGAACAAGAGGTCACCAAAGCTTCTGTCCTTCTGCCACACAACCTGGCTCTTGCTAAGGGGCATTAGATAGATGGAAAGTTCTAAGGCTGGAGTCCTGCTTCTAGTGCAAGCACATTCCCTAGAAGCACCCCCTAAATGGGTTAAGTGGCTTAGGCAACCCTGAATTGTGTTACCTGAAGTGCCTGATCTTGCCTGATCTTGGAAGCTAAGCAGAGTTGGGCTGGGTTGAAATCTGGATGGGTGACTTGAGCCCTGCATTGAGTAGGCAGTTGGACGCGATGGCCTGCTAGGCCCCTTTCAACTGTATGATTCTATGACTAAATAGTTTGTGAATGCCCACCGCTAATAGTGCAAGTCACTGTCTGTACTTTTGTAGTGTCATTTCCTTCTGACCTCGCTGCTTGCAATCCCCATCCTCACTCATGTGTATCCACACCTGTCACTCTAGACAGCATTTCATGCAGCTAATGAAGAGGATTGTAGGCCATGAAATCTTAACAACACACTGGTCAGTGTCTCGGGTACCTCAAGACTCTGTTGTCTTTGCTAGGAAGAAATGTGTCAGAGAGATCACGTGCTCAAGCGCCGCTGGTATTTCACTTACAAAACCAAAACTATATATTGTGGAATGCCTTTCTTTTCTTACAACTTCCAAGACTGGTTGTTGCTATTCCTGATCTGGATAATGGAAATTAATCTTTTTGCAGATGCATAGCTGAGCGTATTCTGCACAGTCGTTATGGTGAGCAAGTGTACCGAAGTGGTTCAAGTGTTAGACTTGTCTTAGGGATCTGGGTTCAAATCCCTGCTCAGATGGAGCTCTCTGGATGACCCTGAGGAACACACACACACACACACACACCCACCACCTTCCTTACTTTGCAGTTATTGGCAGAATAAAATTGGATACCCCCAGGTGCACTGCCCTGTTCTACTTGGAGTAAGAGTGGGATTTATTAGCAATAAATCTGCCTCCATTCCCTCACACACTGCAACAGCAACCAAGTTCCTTAGACAAGGAATAAAGATAAGGAAGGGCATGGAAATCTGGGTTAGATAACAAGTTGGATCACCATCCCCACTTGCTGACTATACTTCATAAGCCCCTCTACACCACAAAAAGTGCATTAAAACATCCCTAGTCACATTTTACATCAAAGCTGAGATTGTCAAGGTGCCATTTTCTGCACCCGAGTCTGTCTTTGCCCAGACACATGAAGTACACATGACCTTGCATTCAAATCATCCTGTTTCAGTGGTAGAAGCCAGCTTGTATTGTATTCATACTAGAGTGACCATGTGTGCTACATAGCAAAGGACAATCCTCTGTTGGAATGAATCTTGTATTGGAAGAGCTTTCCCATCCAAGTCTGGTTTAAAGATAAAGACCCTGAAGGAGGGAGGGCAGGCTCCATAATATCACCCATCAGTGCTCAACCCCAGGGTGACAGCAGGTCACCTGCTCACAGACTCTTCCACTATGATGGGATGGATTGCATATCCCTTTACATTGTAACAATCATTTCTAAATTTCAATCCATGGGTATTTATTAAGCATTTCCAGATTTTATGCAATTAAGCATTCTCTGTTACCCTCTTTTTTCATTGCAGAATTGGCAACTCTAGCTCTGTTCCAAAGTTACCAGTCCATGAATTTATGAAAATTCTGCACCCTTTGCTAGCCATGCACTCTGATTTCTCTTTTACTCTGATGGTCTTCCAGGTGTTCTACTGATCTTGGCACTGACAGAAGAATTAGTGTTTGCTGGTCAGGTACCGTCTCCCAGCTTGGCATCATCCAGGGGCTTCCTGACAGACAATATCAGTATCTCAACTATGGGGACAACTGCTGGACACAAAGGCCATCACACAGCCAAACGTCTGTCCACAACAACTCTTCCAAATTTTCATTCCACCAATGCAGCAGAGACTTCTGCTCCTTCGGTTCGCGAGAAGAAACCAACCAGCAGCCTTTCTGTTAGCAACAAAGGACCATATCACTCGTACAACCAGAGTACTTTGTTTTATGGAAAGACTCGGCCCAAAGGGAAACTATTCCAGATTGTCCAAGGCAATTCCACAGAGGTGACAGAGCCTTATCTAAAGACAGAACTGCAGTCTCCTGCCACCACCAGGAACTGGTCTCCACACCATCCACTTCAGCTCCGGCCTACAGCCTACAGCAGCCAGAGTAGCAGCATTCTGCCGGTAATCACAACAGACTCAGTTGCATCTTTCCACAATCATACCTTGGAAGGCCTTAACAAAGCAGAGTCGGGGAGCTCATCAGAACTGGTTATGCAGGAAGCTGATCTTAACACCTCAGAAAGTGGTCTGTCAACTGCTCCAGAAATGGTGACAGTGCCTTTTAAACCCCCACAGTATGGCATATGGGATATCCTAAAGAAAAATCACTCTTGGGTAAACTCCAGCCAGAGTACAAACCAGGGACCTATTTTTGTTGGTTCTGGGACTGCAACAGCAGCAGCAGCAGCAACTACAACAACAACAACATTTAGTCATCCTGATCAAACTCATGTGGATGCCAATGGTTCCACCTTGTATACGACAAGAAGCCCTACTCATGGGACGTCCATTGTATTGCATCCCTCTGAGCATAATGCCAACTTGCCGAGCAATGTGCTTTCCACAGAGCCCTTCACCTGGCTGCCAAGTTCCTCTTCGACAGCAACAGAAAATTTCCTAAACAGACTGGTACCTGCTGGAACCCGGAAGCCTGGCCTGCCAGGGAACATTTCTCATGTCACAGAGGGTGACAAGCCCCAACACAGGGCAAGCATCTGTCTCAGCAAAGTGGATGTAGCGTGGATCGTACTGGCCATCAGCGTACCCATATCTTCATGCTGTAAGTTGTGTTGTTGTTGTTATTATTTACCTAGCGCTCTCCACAGGTTTTGGACTACAACTCCCAGCCTTCCTGACTGTTGACATGCTGTCTGGGGATGATTGGAGTTGAAGCCCAAAAGATTTGAAAGATACCAGGTTGGGAAAGTTGTTCTTTGGGAAGGCTGTTAATTGAGTTTGCTAATAATCAATGGCATGTGTAGTTTTCTTCTTGCCTGACACCATCTTTGTGAGTGCTCTCAGTGCTAACAAATAGCCATTCCCAATAGTGGCAATGCTTACCAAAGAGGCATCACCACTGCAAAGCTAGCAAGTGCTGCTCTCCCCCATATTTGCTGTGGGAAGAGTGGTTGTGTCCATGTCTCTGCTCCTTTATTTGGTTGTGGCCATGAGGTATCATAGACCCTTTCCCACCTTGCCATGCCATTCTGAATTCTCGTGCTTCAGGTAGGTAGTCCTAGTACACCATCACCCATCTGCCACTTTTTCATAAGACACAAGTGGAAATCAGACTGGAAAAGTCCTAATTAGGCAAGAGGACAATCCCCATCCCCTGCTTCCTGCCTCTGATTACCCCTCTCCCACCACCTTCATTATACTCCTTAATCTCATAGAGTAGTAAAAGGAGGGAGCATCAGTTCTCTTGATGATCATGCAAACACTGCCAGGTATAATCAATTTTCTCTTCTACTTATGAATATCGTTTCATTCCTGATAATCACAAGAAATTAAGTCTTACAACTTTCAGCAATCACCCCCACCCACTCTGCACAAGCCATGCTGACTGAAGGATGTTGGGAGTTGTAGAATTTATTTGCAGGACTTATTTCTGTCTAAAGAGGCATAGGATTGCACCCTAAGAGATTTGCTTGCAGCGATATTTAGAGCACTGCAATTCCAAGTCTCTTGCATCAAGTAGGTTAGCATGCCCTGCAATTCCCTACCTCTCTCCTAAAAGGCTGTATTTGTTGACAAAGCCTTCCACAACAGAGGAGCAATCAGGCCTTGTATCCACAGTTTAGACTTTATGGTGTACAATTATGCAACAGAAAATGAGCAGGTGCACTTGCACCTGACACTTGATCTTCTAGCTTACACAATTTAACTTTTGCAATACTATAATAAGTTTATGAGCTGGTAGCCAAGCTGGTTCATAAAGGAATTGTCTAGGACTGAAACACTGGCCTACACATGACATCTTCCCAGTTCCTTTATAACATGGGCCCTCCTATTCTCTGATCTGCCTTCCCTGTAGAAGCTCCTTCCACATGCATCTGCTGCTTCTAGGCACCACACTCTCCAACGACCTCCATGGTAACACTTGCACAGCCTTGCAAAAAACTGTGGCAGTCCCAAGCTGTATTTCAATGGGTATCAAGAAGGGAAGCTGTACAGAATAGCATGAGAGAAAGGAGCTATTGTCTTTGCATGTATTTGTTTATCTGAAAGCTATTTTTATTACATTATTACATTTATATCCCACCTTTCTTCCTTCCTCTTGCAAGGAACCCAAAGTGGCTTACAAGGTTATCCTCCTCTATTTCATCCTCACAGTAGCAACCTCTAAGGTATTAGGCTAAGAGTACGACTTAAAGTTACCCAGGGAGTTCCATGGCCAAGTGGAGGCTGGAACCTGGATCTCCACACCAGTAGGGTTTAAAACAGCTTCCCCCTGGCCAAATGAATATTCATTTCTTATGTTCCCCCAGTAGAAAGACATGGTATTAAGCAGAGTGCATGAAATGAAATTCCATTACAATTTTTAAAGTTGTTGTTGTTGTTGTCGTCACCATGCCTGGTGAGTAACAACTGAAAGAAAAACTTACTAGAACAGTGCAAAAGACACCACCTAACTCTCCAAGGGGTTGCTGTTTTAAATCAGACCAATGGTCAGTTCCTGCAGACCTCCCTGTATCCCTGTCAGTTCCTGTATCTCTTGCCCTAGAGAGAAGACCAACTGAGACCGTCTGATGTCACCTCAAGATTGCTTGCTGAGAACTAGGATGTTCATGTTTTCTTTGCTGTGAAAACATTTCGCACTGGTAGAACTGCATCACCGTTCCAGAACCCCCTGGATACACATAAAGGTTTTAGCAGAATAAGGCATCTGTGTGACATCCACATGAACAAAACAGCCTCTCCATTAATCAGAGGTTCTAGAAGCAAGTTGCATGGATTTAAGTCACGTTTTCAAATGTGCCTACTCCAGGAGCCATCTTGTGGATGTAAACTGTTTTTTCGGCTCAAATGGTTATGCAGAAAGCACCACAAGAGATGCTTCCTTTGTTTTCAGATTAGACACATGACCACCTGTGAAGCCTGAATGTAGAGTAATATAATAATCTTCATGTTTTCACAAAGAACTATGAGCTTCCCCAACAACTTTGTACTGCTAGAATTCACACATTCAAGTTTGTGCAATAAGAATGCTGCCTGATCCAGAGGAAATTGTTCACCCCACTCAGATTTATAAGACTAGAACTTTTATCTTATTAGAATTTAATTGAAGGCAGTAATTATGATAAATTGATGACAGTGATGGTAGGAGTTAAAAAGCATTTATCAAATTTTGGAGTAGGATCTGGGGGAGAACTGGGTAATTAATGGAGGGTAACCTGCTGATTTGCCCTTGGATTCTTTCTGAATTAGTCAAGTTTTTGTAAAACTTTGTTAAACTATTTGGGTATACCAGTTGCCCTTTGCAGGGGGCTGAGGATGCCTATGAAAGGGCTTCTAAAGAATCCAATCAGCCTCACATTTAATTTCCTTTTTCACATCTGCCCACAGCCATTGCAAATCAATTGTATCGGAAAAATGACTGATTTGGGATGACCCAGTGGTGGACTGCTAACTAATTTAAGAATTTATTTTACTTAGTATGATTTGGACAAGAAATTACTTCTCTGGATTGCCATCTGTAACAGCCAAACAAATCTTAGTCATTGTTTCTAACTCTGCATTTGTGGATATAAATTAGTCTGTGCAAATCTTATCTCCAGTTGAGTCCCCTGGGCCTGTGCCCCTAATCATAAGTGCCTGGCAACTTTTTTGGGTAAGTAGAGCTTCGCGATCACATCAGAGCACTCTGCCTGTCTCATGCACACATTCACATATACCCAGAAGGGCTGGATTAGGGTAGCGTGTTCTGCCTGTTTCCTCATTCTGCGTCACTCACTTCATTCTCCTTTTTCATTTTATGACCCTGATTGCTAATAGCAGAAAATGCTGAACAGGCCATACTTTAGGTAAAAGGTACCATCTTTAGTTCATTTTCTAGTGCTCACTTTCACAGAGCTAGTCTTAATGCAGTGCAATTAGCTGCATCATCCAGAAGAGCAAGCCCAGATTTTAAAAGTCAGCAGTTCCACTGGCACAGCTACTCCTTGGATCCCGGCTCCTGATCAGAGTCTTTGCAGGGTTTGGGAGTGGTAGAACAGGGACAGTGCCAGGTTCCAAGACTATGTGATGTTCAAGACCACAGCTTTAAAAAAGAAAAAAAGCACACATTTTTATATACTAATTTACAAATACTCTAAAGTCTCTCTCTCTCGCTCTCTGAGTGCGTGTATGTGTATATGTGCGTTTAAAGGACATTTCCTCCTAAAAACACCCCTATTTGAAAAAAGGGAGGTATGGACAAGAGAGAGGAGGGAGCTTGAGTTCAGAAAAAAAAAACTCAGGTGGGAAGATTGAAGGGATGGGGCAGGAGAAGATGAAACACACATGAGCAAAATCCCAGATAATCCAAGGGGATTGGATGCCACAGAGGTCATCAGGGCCCCTGTGCCCATGGACACCAGAGTGGTGGAGCAGATGATCTCCCAGAGATCTGAGGCTTCAAATGAAAGATCTGCGGCATGAGCCACAGTGGGCCATCACCCAACACCACCTAAGCTTCAAAGCACAACCTTTTCTACTGCAGTTGACCAAATGACTGACCAGTAAGGCTCTCATGACCTTTCCGCTCCCTCCAAATGATGCTAGACCACAACTCCCATCAGCTGTAGCCAGTATATCCAATGATGAAGCATGAAGAGCACTGCAGTCCCACAACATCTGGAGGATGACACCTCCCCCTACCCCTGCTTTACAGCTGTTTTCTGGCTCTGCCTGGTGAGGAAAGTTGCTGAGAGGCACATTTCTCAAGTCAACAGCTGGCCTGTCCGATTCACTTTGCGTTCCCTGAAAAGCCTGCTCTCTCATGTGCAGCACCCTCACCCCCTCCTCTTCTAATTCAGGGAGCTGACTGTTTCAGGAGGCAGGTGCCATTCATGGCGTCACTTTAGGGTAATGTTCTATAATAACCATTGTCATAGTATAATCTTTCCTTTGCTCTGCTTGCTCCGCACACTGCTCTCCCATCATCTTTCAAGGTGAAAGGCATACATTACATACTGGGGAATGATACAAATGCCCACCCAAATGAGTCACTTTACTTGTCATCAGAATTAAGTGAGATAAATAACTTGCTCTCCCTGATAGGCAGCGGCCTCTTGAGACTCCCCTGTGCCTTGTTACCACGGCAGCTGGCTTTGTGCTCCTGAATTTTTAGCCTCACTGAAAGGTTTGGCTTCCGATTCGGCTCCACCACAGATCACCTGACACAAGCATCGCGTAGCAAGGAGTCTACTGCCACCTTCAGGAAGTAAGGCAAATACAAAGATGCCACATTTTGGCTTTCCATGGTTCAGTGGTCACTGCAAGTAGAACGTTGCCCCAATTTTGTTTTGTTTTGCTTTGAAGCAACGGGATTATTCATAATCAATAGACTACAGCAGACAAAGAAGGAGAGATATCTGTGAAGGAGCAAGCTGAGACAAATACCATGGATGCCCTTGGCTCGAATGCTGATGGGGCAGTGCATGCGCTCTGGCTGGCGAGGAATTTTTAAGGAGCTATCCATGGTGTTGAACCTATTTTGAGCTAGCTGCATGGAAAGCACCTTTAAAGTTCAAACTAAAACACTGCCCCACTGAGAATGGGATCAGCAGCCTCCACTTT